ATACGAATATTCTTAGTTGGTTTACGATTCTTTCGCAACTTAACCATATTGGCAGGAATACCTATAGGAAAACACCTTGTCCGGAGTCCATAGTATGCAGGATATCTTCCGGAGTCAGACCTTGAACTTGGAACATTCCCAGACGTTTCGCCAGCATCGCCAGTGAGTATTGTCATGTTTAGTAACAAAAATTATCTTCTGTGTAGAGCTAAGAATTGCAAGGCGCACTGATGATGCCGACTACGATGCCAACGAAACGTCTGGGAATGGACTAAGTCTACTGCCCGACTGTCCGCCTACTGTAGACTCCGAACAAGGTGTGTTGCTCCAGGTCTTACATCAAATATGACCAAGTTGCGAAAACGGAGATAAACAACTCCTATACAACGCAAGGAGACCGCGACTCTACTAACGGACACACCATCTTGGTATTCATATCTTAAACTAAAATATATTTTTGACTTATTGACAATAATAATCATTAGGTGGATTTCTAAATGTCTTCGAATACCGTTGAGGGGAGGATTCGCCCATGAGACCTGGGCGAGGTAGGAATTGTCGTCTATTCTGGATGAGTAAACCTTTTGGTAGGCAAAACTAACTGAATTTCATTGGAATTGGAAGCCTACTCATATAGTTTTGGGAAAATCTCATTAATCAGTACATAAATCACTTCGAGCGACCTAGGATGACTCATTTCTTAGTCGAAAACCCGTAGATTGTATGAGCAAAATGTTTCCTTAGTTGGGATATTATTATAATTACTCTTATTCACTGTCAGTATATCCTTTCCGGCATTTTAAAACGTTGGCTCTGGCCAACTCATTAAGAGTACATTCTTTGTTACGTATTCAACAATAATTCTGGCTTGGGAAACTAGTTCACTTCATCCTATCGTTATTTATAATGAATGATACTGTTGACGAGGTACACACAAATATGTACAAATGGCGTCATTGATTCCATAAGATAGGCAACAAGGAGAAAATGACTGGCATTTTCAGGCCTATAAGGCACATTGGGGTTTTGAGGTTTACACGCTTTTGGTTGCTTTAGACCAGATTTCGCTTTTGAAATTCCAGCCCACTCTGTGTTTTAAAATGTGCCTTTTCATCAGTTCTAGACAGCCTTTGAGGGAGTCATCTTGAGGTTACCTTCAGGGAGAAAGGTTAAAGGCATAGGCTTCAGGTAGCTGAAAAGCCGCATAGTTGCGCTGGGCAGGAACTTGGTCAGCCTAGGTCGCTTAAGATGATTTAAGCGACTTATAATTATTTTTTTCCCACAATAAAAGTGATATATAAGAAGCCTTACATACCTTGAATGTCGCATCTGACCTATGACCTGTGGTTGTGCAATGGAATGATAATATCGCCACGATACTCAAGAACCTAAGTTCGATTCTAGTTTGGGATGCTGATATAACGATGAGGCGAGGTCGAAATTGCACTCCAGTCCAGTTCAGTTGGAACGAGAATAAATGTTGGGAGGCATTGTTAAGCTAAATTCATTGATATTATAAGGCCTACTCATCTGATTGTATAGAAAAATTTAAATATTAGCCTAAACTGTTGGTTCTACCTTGTTTTTTCGATTTGGTCGGAGCATCGGGGAGACCTTGTGTCGTCTGTCATAGTATTCGTGAGTTCCAGAATCGGACTATTGACTAAATACATTCCAAACATTTCACCAGCATCATAATCGGCATCGTCAGTGATGGGTGTCATCTTCAGCTCAGAATTACAACTTATCAAAGGGACAAGTGAAGGCAATCACCTTGACCAATTTTCTGTTCAACCTTAGTCTATAGTTTGCCGTAAAACGACCTAGGCTGACCAAGTTAGTATTCAAAAGGTGTACATTTTTTACAATTCATTTCATTTAGAAAGGTTAATGTAAGATTACCCAACTTGATTAGGGTTCTTATCGAGCGCCTTGTGTTTCGGTAGTTGATTAAGAGAGGAGAAAGCTTGCCTAACTGTACCAGACATTCTGGAGCAACCTTTACATCCAATGTTAACTAACGTTTATACAGGCATACCGATCTACCGATAGATTAAGGAGCTATTTATTCAATATCCGGTCTCCCAATAACCTAGCCCCCAGCATCCCCGGCGAGACATCGTGTCCAAGTCTAGCGTGGTGATGATAGACTCTTTCTTATAGAACCTGTGTGCTCAAAGCCCATTCATGCAGG